GTCCTCCAGCCCACCAAGCAAATCTGAGTCGGTTGCTTGGGTGCATCCAAGTGATCGAGCGTAACTGCCCCAAGCCACTGCAGCAACGAAGGCTCAAGAGTAGGTGTCGGCAGCGGTAGTGCGCATCGCATTACATCTTTGGTGGTACCACCTGACCCACATTTTCAGCTCGATATTCCACTACTGCCACACTCAAAGGAACAGCCTGGGACAGACTAGGCCGCCCTCTGCTCCATTAAGCAGGGCCAAAACAGTTCGCGCAGGCAAAACTCTACGAAAACTGGCAAACCCGCCAGCGGAGCGGAGACGGAAGATGTGCAAATTCATTCGAAAAAAGAGAAATCCCCGCGAAAAGAACGCAAAACCGAGCCAGAAGCAGCAAGCGGAATCCAGCCGAATGACTAGCCCGGTGGATGCTTACCGGAGCCATTTTGGTTCAACAAGGTTAATCGTCAAAAACTTACATGTAAGTTTTTACCACTTTTAACCGTATATCGCTGGCTGCTTTCATCAGCCACTTCCTCGCGATTTGCTGCATTGCCCAAACGGCGTCCACCACCTGGACCTCGAGTAGCGCTGCCCTGCGCACGGCGTTGTCTTCTCTGGAAATAACATTCACCTCACTTCCGCCACCAATTCCCCTCACTCAGTAGTCAACGCGCACGCATGGCTATTGCTCCGAGGAAGTGATAAAATCACAACATAACCACCTGTCGCTGATTTCAAGCCAAAAAAAGAAAGCCGAAAATATGCGATTATTACCAGAGCAGCAGCAGGCGCAAAAACTGCTCGTCGCCGTCGACATCGAGCTGCCATTACTGGTGCTCAGGATACCTTATCGCCCGCAGCAGTCGACTCCGAGAGCGCCGACGTGCAATGGTCTAAATAGCATTAACTTAAAACACTGAAATCGAGTGCCCGCTGCGTACGAATGCGCTGATGTTGCTTCCGGAAGCGAGTAAAGGCTGGGATGGGCAATTTTCGCGAGTGGGTGCAACAGCAGAAGAGAAGGGGTTACGGGAATAAAGGAAGTAACGGGCCAGGCTGGGGTACACTAGGTAATTTTTTTGAGCGCATACATAGGGCCTGTTGCACCACCGCTACTCCGTTGCAATGAGCCACGAGAAGTGGCATCATTCCTGGCAGTACCGATCCTGGAAAAGTCAGCCCAGAGCATGAGAAACCTTCCCTCCCC